AAAGCGAACATATATTTATATATAAATTGGAGGCTTGCAAATCCAACATGGACATATATATATATATATATACTTTTTTCTACATGAAATTGCATGCGGCAGAGTATGAATGAGTGGAGTAGTGACAGGCTAGAGGGAATTCGCCAGAGAAGATAATTTCTATGGGCATTTCATCAATAAGGTGTAGAAGTTAGGATGAATATGTAAATGTTCTGGTCTGTAAAATGACTATCAACAACGAAATGGTGATTAATTGGAAGAATAAAAAATGGAAAAGACTTACTCAGTTAAAGGTTTATGTGAATATGGGCAATATATGAGGTATAGGTGGTAATAGTTAAGTAAACCTGCATATTAAGAAGTGAAATCGCACTATGACCACTTAACGCACCTTGTATAATTTTATATTGGCCAATTCAAATATATAAACCCAGTAAATTTTGTACAATAAAACTAAGAAAAAAATTGTCTGCAGAAATTCCTAGTTGAGTAGGAGGTTTATGGCTTGGTAGTGCGGTTGGTAGTGCGAACAGTTGGCCTAAAGCTAGGGAAATATTTTTAATTACAAGTTAAGGGGCTTTAGAGAAATGAAAGAAAATCCTAAACATTAGAGGCGTGTGAAGAGAAACATTCTCTGCGATGGAGGCCCGCAAGTCGAATACATGTTCGGAGACATGTCTGTGACACCAAAATATCATTAGCACCATGCTGAACAAAAGATTCTGATCAAGACATGATCATGTTACCATTTTAAAGCATGTATGCATATCTTCGCGTGAGCAAGTTCACGTAGCATTTATTAGAATTTAATGTAAGGAAGGTGCATGTTTAGCATTAGCCTGATGACTCAATCTTTTATAAAATAGCATAGGTTTCAGACGGAGTAAATTCCCCTTGACATTGGAAGGAGATTCACTCATCATTATTCATTTATGCGACAACTTCTATTGTTAAATTGCCCGTGCCAGACTCAGTCAATACCAAGTAACACCGATTTATCAGCGAAAAAGAAGAGCGCTAAAGAGTTTGTAGCTACCATCAGAAAAGTGAAAGTATGATAAAGCATAATGAGTGGGACATGATGAGGGCACCGAGCAAAACTGGCAGAATCTAAAGAGATGAGAGTAAGCCAAGCGCGAAAGTCGGCAGGATAAAAAAGCATCAGCTTAAAGAGATGGCTAACGACAAAACGAGAGAGAAACTGACTGCCAGAAGATGCCTTCATTGGGTGTGTGTAGGAAGATGAGTTTAGGAGGGTATGCATGCTAAGTTTTCACCCCGCCAGCACACGAAGATAGACAGTAAATGTCTGAGTTAAATTAACTCCATTCATGACTTGGAGAGTTGCCTCGATATTGTTCAAAAGTTAATAATCACAAAGCTGGACCACTCTCGGTAATCCGAAGTAAAGAACCTTTTACGAGACTATAAAGCTGCGCATAACTTGGATGAACAAGTTTATTTTGTGCTATACATTTTCAATTCAGCCTATGAAGCTTATATCTTCGCATGCGTAGTGTCTTTGATTCCCACGTCTCTATATACACACATTAGGAGGAGGTGAAATTAAAAGCCGGAAAATAATTCCGTCGAAGGGATGTGAAGGTAAATTTGTCATTATCCTTCAAAACAATATGTTTAATGGCAATGGAGTCCAGATGAAGCTGTACAGAGTCTCAAGAGCCCCAAAACTGTCTCGTACTGAAGAGGATGGTCGTCTGGAAGCGAGGAGGCACGGCGGCCAAATTCCAAGCCACGTTGCCATCACCGGCCAGAACTAGCGGCTGTGGTCGAACCGGCAGCCGGACAGGAAGCTGCAAAACTCCCGTGCCCGGACTGTGGGACATACGAAATCGGCATTGCTGCTAGCGAGTGAAACAACCGGAGACAATTGGCTGAAGGGGCGCTGGTGGGCTGGCGAGACGAGGAGAGATCAACTGCTGCCTCGCCTGGTTGCCCGACATGCTTGTTGCTGGAGCATGAAATTGACCGCACTGACGTGCTGGACCTGGTCGTCAGATCGGCGTGTCCAATCGGCAATTCCGAGTTGGGAGGCTTGACATGGTTGTGGACATGGGATGTGATGGAGGCTGGGGCTGACAGGACGCTGGGGATGCTAGGGCTAGAAGCGGGTGGGCTCGACGAGCTGTGAGCCTTGGGAGTGTATAGGAATGGCGAGGAGGCCCGAGCGTCGGCCTCGCTGCTTACGCCAGCTGTCCGATCGTCAGGACCCTTTTCTCTTCTCATGACATTCGAGTCCAGCCTCTCGTGGTCAGCCAGCTGACCGGTAGTTGTCTCAGCCATGGCTTCGGTCTTGGCTTCGTCTCGCGATCGCCTGCCGCCTTTGTTGGACTCATTTGCAAGTCGGCCAGCATCTGATCGAGCCAGTTCCAGTCTCCGGTCGCCAGGCGCCGGCAGAAGGGTGGAAAAAGAAACGGATGACGGTGAAGACGACAAAAGTGAAGAGGCGGCCGACGAGGACGGACAAGAGGGCGCCACGGACAGAGTGCCCGGTGGAGAAAACAGCGAAGAGATTGACAGCGAGGCGAGTCCCAGTCCGCTATTTACGCAGGTTGCAATTGGCCGACAGGAGTTGTTCAACTGCTCGTCGCCGGTAGAGCTGGTCGAGACCGGCCGACTGGCGAGACCCGCAATCGGTGGTGACGCCACATTCACTGCTGCCTGGCCTGCGGCCACACTGTCCTGAAACGCAGACAGAAGCAACGCCGCCTTTTGCGGGTCGACGTCACCGGCCACCGCCATTGTCTTCATGAAGGCATCAAAAGAGAACAGTCCCGATCCAGCCATGGCAACCGGGACGCCTGACAAGCCGGAGACGAGGGAAGGAGTGGTACTTGGGGCCGACTGTAAATTGCCGGGTTGGTCGCCAACCCCGACAGGAGTGATGCGACCAAGCAGACCGTCGGCAAGACTGCACGGGTAGAAGGGAGCCGTGGGCAGAGAGGCCACGGGGCTTGAAGAAGAGGAGGAGGAGGAGGAGGAGGAAGAGGAGAAGGAGGAGGAGGAGGAG